ATCAGAACTTATGCTACTTTCAACTTCCACAAAAGTTGAATTGCTGACAGGCCTGATAGGTGATGGAACTTTCTGAATATCAGTATACACTCTATCACAAAGTGGGAGTGGCCAACAAGAAGGCTGACCCCCTGAGTTGATGAGTAGATCACAATCAAGGAGAGGAGGACAATGATAGAGTCATATTATTAAAGCCAGAATACTTTCACATGATGATTATGCCAACAGAAGAAGAAGTACATACTAAGATCCAGAATGCTGTCAGACAACTAAACCTCTAGGATCAAGGGATTGCCACTTCCCTGAATCATGAGAGAGACATAACCAGATATAATAGCCTCCTCTATTATGATGGCTGCATCTACATCCCAAGAAATTCATCATTGCAAGGGGAGATAATCACTATTAGTTATGACTATATGACAGCAGGACACTCAGAGATATCTAAGATGAAGGAGTTGGTTCTATGAGAGTATTAGTAGCTGAAGCTGGATCAGAATATCAATAAATATATAAAAGGGTGTGAGACTTATCAACAAACCAAGTCCTCTACATGAGCTTGACCTGCACCACTTTATTTGAATGAAGTTCCAACACAGCTATGGACCCACATTTCTGTAGACATGATCACAGGGCTATCAGACTGCAATGGCTATAACACTATTATCATTATTGTTGATCACTTTTCTAAGGCTATCATTTCAATCACTTGCTTCATCAAGCTATTTTCTAAAGAGTGGACAAGGATACTTCAGGATGAAGTCTATTCCAAGTATAGTATGCTGCAAATGGTCATCTCTAATTGAGGACCACAATTCATATCCAAGTTCTTGGATGACCCTTACCAACTACTCAGAATCCACAGCAATGCTTCTACTGCATACCACTCTCAAACAGATGGTCAGATAAAGCATGTCAACCAGGAAATTGAGAAATATCTTCAGATGTTCATTAATCACTGACAAGACAACTGGGTGGAGTGGCTTATGCTTGCTGCATCCTAATACAATAACCACATCCATTCTGCTACTGGCAAGACTCTATTTTTCATCAACTACAGTTGACATTCAAATGTCACCATGAACTCTTGAGTCCACACCTCTACTCCTGCATCCACTGACTTCATTTCTGAAATTGCAAAGATTTACATCAAAACTCAATCAGCTCTAGAAAAAGCAGCTACTGCTATAAAAACATAATACAACAGACACCACTGTTCTGCTCATGAATATGCTATCAACAATAAAGTTTGGTTAGATATGACCAATCTCCATCTCTCATGACTGAAACAAAAGCTCACAGATAAATGCACTGACTCTTTTCCTATCTTAGCAAAAGTTAGTGTCTCTATCTATAAACTCCATTTACCACTATATTAGCACATTCACAATACCTTTAATAAATTCCTTTTAACTCTATATGTTACTCTGGCATTCTTTAATCAAGAACAGCCATCTTTATCTCCCCCTGACCTGATCAATAATGAAGAACACTATGAAATCAATTAAGTCCTAAATTATAAACTCTCAAAAATATAAGCATAAGATGGAGGCATGACAATGACTGTCAATTATCTCATCAGTTGAAAGAGATACAGACCTGAATCTAACCAGTGAGTGAATGAGAAATGCATGAATGCAGATGAGACCATACATGAGTATGAATTATCCTTAAATTAAGTCATTAGAATGATGGTCTTAAGAAGAGAGTAATGTTATAATTTTTCCTCTTTTTTCTGATCTTTTATTCTTATTTATGCTTAGTCAGAGCACTTAGACTCAGCATTTGGGACTGTGAGAAGGGCTTAGTCAGCACAATCAGCCCTTACTTCATGACTTTTAGTGACATCCTGACAATAGAATAATACTCCTTTTGTAAGTAGTAATGATGCTCTAGGATGATGAGCACTATAGTGTTGAAGTGCACAATTGGTAGAACTATATTTATCTTCAAAGTAGATGATATATAAGTAGCATAGCAATTGCCCTATATCTCTAGCCTCAAGCTATTCTTTATCTTTACTATTCTATCTCAAATCAACTGTATTGATCTTGAGACATAACACTGCTAAATACATTTAATGGACTCAAGTGTGACTGTACAAACTCAATACAGTGCCTGTTTATCATGTATTGGGGTCACATATCACTTGGGTCTAACATATTCTATCCACATGTTCAGGCACTATATGGATTTGCTTATAAGCATCTTTTTTATCAATTATGCTCTGATACTTACATTTGGCAATACAACATAAAATGCCTTCAATATTTGGAAGAGGTGCAAAGACCTTGCAGGTGTTAGCATTATGTGCATGTAAGTTGATAACTGTCTGAAGTAAGTGCTTCAACTTTTCTACTTTCAGAATCAGTAACATTGGTACAGAATTTCCAGTGATAGTGAGTTTCCATTTATCTGAAGCTAGATAATCCTATCATTTCTGATCCCACTGTGAGTGAAAGGCTTCTGGGCATTGTGAAGGCCTTTATAGATAGACCTTTTGCTTATTGATTAGTGGAATAATATGATTAATCACTCTAAGTGGTGGCAATAGAGTCTCCAAGACTATTTTATAAATGGGGGCTGCATACTCTTTAAGCTCTATATGAACTTGGTTAAATACATTATCACTTGCCATCATTGCCTGAGACTGAAGTTGGCTCATATTATTGCCTTTTATAGGCAATACTATGCTGCTCCCTATTTTGATGGAAGAAAGATTAAAGCTAACATGTATATTATGCTGGTATAACCACATTGTGCCTAGTACTAGATCATATCCTGAGAGGTTTGCTATATCAAAGTAATGTTTCACTTTAATATCTTGATATTCAAATTGAACTTTAGTTTCATATAGAATCTTAGAACATAAATCTTATACTGCAAGATGCAAGGGAATTAGAGTCAGCAGGTATGTTTTAAACACTTTTAGCTGGTCTGCAAGCTGAGTGGATATAAAGTTCCTCAGCAAGCCAGTATCAATCAATGCTTAATATGGTTTACCATTAATCTCAACAATGATAACCAAAGGATGAGGTACTACTTGGCCAATATCCTTAACCACTGCTGCATGTTGCTGAATAGCTGAGTATATCTTAGATTCAATCTGGATGTCTGCTATGCTCATAATATGAGTGTAGCCATTTCATTCTTTCCACTACAAGTTTCCATGCATTAAATACAAGTAACTATCAGCTCTAGCAACTATTATATCAAGTTCTCACTCAAATTCATTCATCTCTACTGACTGTGAGAATAGATGAGGTGAGAATTCATATTCAACAGAACCTCAAAAGTGCTGAAAAAGATCTTTATAGGCTTAATTAAGCTTCTTTCTATACCAGTTTAGAAGGTTGAAGTTCAGATTCATCAAGTTTTTGATTGTTACTAAGGTCTTAAACTCTCAGTACACATCATCAATGATGTATTCCTGTGGCCATATAGTATCAATATGAAGGACAGCAAGATTCACCTGATCAGTAATCATAATCTGATTTCTGTCTGATGTCTTATAAGAAATCTGGAATCTATCATATAGTGAGATTGGGCTTTTGTAGCCTAATTTCTTCAGATCTGGATACATACTAATGCCATGACTCAGAATAAAATGTATGTCTTACACTATTGCATCTCTAATTTCAGATAAATTGTGGTATCACTCTGTAGAGTTATATAGTAATGCCAATAATCTAGCATGCTGTTTTGTATACCATGCACCAATATAAAACTTTGGGTTTTATAACAGTGAGGCAGATATAAATGAGTTCTCCATGTTCTGGCTCAGTATCTGCAATAGGAAAAGTCTTCTGATTCAGATAGAATACTCTGAAATAGTAGGAGCTTACTGCACTCCAGCATAACTCATCACCAGAGTAAGATGCATCATAGTTCAAGCATATTTCTGCAGTGTATTGATGTAGATTGCCAATTGTATTAGGTCACCACTTTGAATCCACCTCCTGCCACAGTATGAAGTTGGTATAGTCTGTCTCAGGATACCCATAGACATTCTTAGTATTATCAGCCCAGCAATACATAGGTTCATTATTATGATCTCTTATGCAGACATCCTTTTCAGACCATGAATGAGCAAATTTCTCAATCCCAGACACTGGTAAGGCTTCATTACATTCAATACTTCTGAAATCATGGATAAATGTCTCTAGATCATCTAATTTTGGTTCAACAGAATCATCAGAGCTAAAACCTGAAGATGTGATATCATTTTCAGATTTGATAGGTGATATGTAGAGCTCAGTAAGCACTTGCAAAGTCCACTCACCATCAGTTTCATAGTTTGAGCTTTCAGAATCATCAGTTTTTGAAACAGATTCAAGGTTTGGAGTGTCTTCATTGAATAGATTATCATTCTGGGACTGACTGTCTTATTTGATAGACATAAACATCATTCCAATTGAAATATGATCAACTGTTTCAGTTATCTCTGCCAAATTTTGAAGCTGATGATCATCTATCAAGTCATAATGTATATCATGTGCTGAGAAGCCTGATGGCTCTGTTTTGTCGCTTGACTTCACTGTGTTATTGTGAGGACAATTTCTAGTCATATATCTCACTTCTTCACATCTAAAGCACTTATTTGCAGTGACAAGTTCTGCCTTCTTGCTTTCTGATAGTTTGTTTGTAGAGCTAGAATTTATGGTAGACTTGCTTCCACCATTGCACTCTCTGTTTGATGGCTTATTATCTCTGAAAGATGACAAGAGTTGATTGTAGCTCAATAACTGACTATGCAATTTAGATCCTCTCTTGCAGGGTTCATTCTTCTCATGAGAATATCCTTTTGAATGACTATTATCAGACTTATATTTTTTAGATATATGCTCACTATTTCTGTGGTTATTGCTGTTTCCAGAATCTCCCTGTGATGGCTTCTTTTTCTTGGTACTACAAGGTGTAGACTCAAGATCAGCCATTTCAATGAGTTCAGCCTCTTTGACAATACAGTGTCAGCTATGAGCCTTCTTATTGAGCTTTGCTCAATAGAGTTCATGCTGCATCTCTCTATAGAATACATTCCAAAGCTTGATAATATGCTCACACTTGCTAGTTACACCAACAAGGCCATATAAAGTTTCCAGCTCATAAATGTATTCTGAAATGGTGCAGTCATTCTGATAGCACTTCTTTATTTTATCCCATTACTGACTTTGGTAATTTAAAGAGAAGCATGAATTAAAGATTCCTCACAAGAAGTCTATCAATGTCCATTCTGCATAGTTCTTCAAAACCTTCTAAATGAAGAAAGATAATGCCTTTTTCTTCAGATAATATGATGCCAGAAATACCTGTTCATCCTTTAGAACCTGACCTTCTCTGCAGAATTGGGTTAATTCTATTGTAAAGCAATGGAATTTTTCATCATCAGCTGTGCCATCATAGAGTATAGGAGGTATTAGTCAAATCAATCTTTTGCAGTGATGTTTTTGACTTCTATGCTTATGCCAATGGGAATTATGCCTTTTATTATGATGATGATAGTGTTGACATCTATGATTGGATAGCTCAGAGCTATCTGATGCATCCAACTCATCACTTGCATTACTGCTACTTGAGCTCAATGAGCTCAAACCAGTGCTTGAGAAACCATTGTCTGATGGAGAAGATTCTGAATAATTAGAATCTGAATCTGAGTCAGACTCTGATGATTTAGAGCTAGAGGAACTAGCATAATGCTTATGCTTCTATTTCTCAAGCTTTTTGTTATTGAATTTCTTCTTGTGCTCAGATAAGACCTTCCACTTCTTCTTTGATTTGCTGATATCTAACATATCAGCTAAGAAGCTATCAGGTGATAGCTGATCTACAGAGTGGATAGACTTATGTCAGCTCCCATAACAGCTATTTGAAGGTGCCTTTGAGTGTTCTCATATGATGTTTCTCATTTTATGATCAGTCAATGACCTGACAGTCTTCTGTTTTAAAGATTTTGCACTTATCTTAGAGGGTGCCTTTTTTGGTTGAGGCTCTGTCTCTAAATCTGACTCAGAACCTTTGTCTGATGTTTTCTCTACTTCAAGAGCATCATAGTGGCTTGTTTTATGAACCTTTGTCTTTGGTTTTAATTCCCAAGATCTTTCTGTTTGTTATGCTTAGAAGACTTCCTGACAGTCATAAAACCATCTTCAACCTTTGGGCAAGTCTCCAAATAGGACACATCACCTTCAGAGACTTCTTGATTGATGTCTCAAGCCTGATTCCATATTTTGAGAGCCTCATATTGTGTCTCAACATCTAATTCAGTATCATCAATCTTCTGATTGTGATCAATAAAATTTCCTTTAGCAATGTAAGAGCTGGATCCAGATATAGCTATTGGAGTCTGAGATGCAGTAGGTTGCTCTTGGCTCCTATCTTCTCTCAGCTTGTTTTGATGTTTGGCAAGCATTTCCTGCTGTGCAGTTGTCAAATTCCATTCAGCTGCATCAGTAGTAGAAAGCTGTTTCTTTATGAGCTTTCTTCCTTCATGTAGTCTTTCAAAATAAACTTCATATTTCCTCAGGTCATCAAAACTCTGAGTATAGCAAAGCCTTGCAGGTCTTGCTATTCTATTGGATTCTTCTGCATCTGTACTATGGGATGCTTTCTTGAAGGTAGAAGATGTAGATGATTCATAATCATTTCCATTATCTACATCACTATAGGATGAATCATTATCTGAAACTTCTATAGTCAGATTTCTCTGAGTGATTTGAATCCTCTTTCTCTGCTTATGCACAGGCAAGAGAAAGGTTTCTCAGCACTGTAGCACCAGATGCTGGAACACAGCTCACAGCCAGAACAGGAGTAGCATCCTGAGTGCTCACAGCACTAGAATCTGCCACATTTTTAGTATTAAAGTCTGTTGGTGACAACTCACCTGATAACTGAGATAAAGGACTGTCTATCTCTGATGTAGCTAGTACAACAGTGATGTTGTGATGGCTGTGCAAAGGGTAATGCAACATTCTAAGAAACTAAGAATTAAAGAGAAAATTAGATATTAGTGTCAAAGTCAGAATATCCTTAGATAATCAAGCCATAGGGGATCCAGATATTGACATAGAGAGATATAAAAAGTTTAGAGAGAGAAGCACAGATAAAAAAGAGAAAAAGATAAAAACAAAGATTAAGCCAATAGAGCTGTCAAAAATATAAGAGAATGGTAAAAGTCACTTCTCTCACAAAAGGCTTGCACAGTCACTGACAGATGTAAAGGCTTGGTCAGTTGCAAAAATCTCTAGCTACAATATATGTACTGGCTTATATATATGGTAGGAATAACAAATATAGGCTAAACTAAGGAGATAGGAAAAAAAGGGAAAAATATCAGGTAAAAGTATTAGATCATGGAATGACTCATAATACCATAGGCCTTGAAACAATATTCACATCACTTCACTCTCTCAAGCAATTATGAAGTGTGTTAATACCCTGTTCATTTGAGTCAACTCATTGTATATCTGCTATAATTTATACAATGACTGTTGATAATATCAACACTATCTGAGAGGCAAGTCTATAAATTATGTATTTTCACTCTATGTTTCTCACTATATACTCCAGGTATGAAGGTAATGATGATGATTGAGTCTGAGATGCTTGGAAGTGGACTGGACAGTCAAGTATGTAAATATATCTTGTGTTCATCTTATAATAATATAATATTGCCATCATTGAAATACCAGGCTTTATACACAACTTTATCACTTGGCATCATAGTACTAGTAAAAGGAAACTGCATCTGATTTTCACAAAGATCTAAAATCTGCAATCATAATAGTTGCTCTATGACTCATTGAACTCACTCATAGCTGGAATATTGCATCTCTATAGCAGTCAAATCATCTGCTTTTCCAAGTAATATCAGCTAATACTCAATGTGAGTTTCCCACAAACTGTTCCATAATCTGCCTATAATCTGACTGCCTAGTTAATTCTGAGATCCTTGAGATTGTCATTCAAATGTTTGATATGATCCTCATCATTACACTTGTTCTCTTCAGCTTGACATATATAACAGCAAAGCTTTCTTCTCATATAACAAGATCAAAAGCATGATTTCTATTCATCAGAAGTACAATGTTTTAGTGTGTCACATTTCTGCTATTGCTTGGCTGGCAGGACAATCAAGAGCCTTCTTTCAGGGTCTGTATCCTGCAGTCAGCTCTTAGCTATGCTGCCAATCCATTGTACATCACTTGTTCATCTTTTACATTGTCAGTTCTTGATTCTCATTATTAAGCCCAAGCAACACATGATAAGTGAGCACTGTATTGTATTTGTAGAGTCACACTCAAGTTCACTATGTGTATTTGTTTGGCTGTGTATCTCAAGGCTAATTCAAATTAGCTCAAGATAGAATGATAGAGATAAAACTTTAGCTCAAAGCTGGGGTGCTACAGTGAGAGCTATTCTACTTATATATTATTCTGTATTGTAAATAAATATAAGACTATCTGTTGTAACTGTTTGGGCTTTTGTGCTCATTGTCCTTGAGTGTTACTACTGTCTATAAAAGAGTCATTGTGTGTCATTGAGCATTGTTGTCATGTTGAAAGACAATGACAGACTGGGCTAGTTGTGATGATAAAGTCTTTGTCCTATGGTCTTAAGTGCTGGTTAGACACTCTGACTAAGCATAAATAGGGGTTGAATGCAAAGAGAAAAGTGAAAAATCATAACACTCATCCAATCCTTATCTAGCATTGCAATCTCTGCATTGGGCCTTGTTCTCAAGATATGCCAGGCTCTATAAAACTAAAACATGGCTGATATTCTATAGCTACACATGAGCCTGTCAATCTCAGATAAAAAAATGAAGCAGTGACAGTCATGAGTATAGTATTCTTCCCTCTGCCTTGTCTACATCTTTGCTAACAGCTTTGGCAGTTATTTGCAATCTCTTCTGCTATTGGTATCATCATTTTTTCCTACATTATAGCTGTAAGCATTAGTCACAACTCATTTGCCACTTGTCATCTGATATATAGCTATCCTTCTCAGATCAGGGTCACTCATCCAGAAGCTGTGCAATGAGATGCAAGCTGTATCTTCTATCATATCACTTACTTAGATGAATTTGGTGCAGATCAACTGTTCATTTAGTCTTTATCTTTTTTATCATATTCAGTTGATTTGGTATCTATGATCTGATAAATATATCATAAGTGCTATAACAACCATGATATTGGACATCTTTGTTCTTTTTTTCTCTAGTAAGTATTCTCTATCTGGACAACACTTCTAAGGCTCTGAATTCTCATAGTTCTCATTGCTATTAAAGTTTATATCACCAAGCACAGACTTGGATGCTCTCTTCTGGTGACTAATGCTCCAGTCAGTGTTCTTAGTCATATACATGGCAGCACTCACAGTTCTCCTCTCTATTGGTAATGTGTAAGTCAAATCATTCACTGTGGTCATGTCTCTAATTTGTACTTGACCAGGGTGAATATAACCAGTCTTGTGGTAGACTCCAGTTCATTAGCAGTAGAGTGAAACTTGGCTTTAATTTTGAGTTTGTCAAATTCTCATTTCAGTGAACACTAGTATTAACACTTGAGTATACTAGTATCTATATCTATCTTTCTACTCTTTGGCACACAAAAGATATATGTCACAGTTGCAATCTGAAAGTGAGTGATCTTAATAAGCCTACAGGACCTATTATATGCCTGGTGTTGCTGTCACTGTTTCTGAAATAAAAACAATGGGGATATGATCAAATCAGAAAAAGATATAGAGATAGCCAATGTTTGATCATCTTCAAGTCACACAGAGTTGCTACAGCCTCACAGCAGTGAAGAGAGATAAGACAGGCACTAACCTCTCTTGCAGTGATGATTTCTTTCAATGAATCAAAAGGATGTAAAGAGTTCACAATAAAATAAATATATATCACATCTACAGAGTTTAGTCAAAATGAATCTGCATGCAAAAGAAATGTACCTCAATAAAGGCAAATGATAATCAAGAAACTAAAATTTATGAAGTGTCTATCCAATTTGACTTTGATGTCTATTTTCTTGGCCTGTATGGTATACCAGAAGGTTTGCCATATATTATATCAGACTGTTTGCCATATGGAATGCCAGATAGTCAGTTATATAGTATGCCAGATCACTTATTGAATGGTGCACCAGATGAAATAGGCATA